CAAACTGCATGCATTTTTAGCCTTTTTTTTTTAAAAACAGGGAAATGGTACTGCTAGAAAATCTATGGGTTGAGGGCATCAGTGCTATTGCTGAGGCAGAACAATAACAACTTCAGTCATGATTTATATAGCTAATTTCAGGATAAAACCCTATCTATTTTTAAAAAGAGGAAAAGACCACAAATTACCTGATTTTGTATTCGGCAGTGATTACAGTTTATACTGCCCAATGTTTCAACTCAGTAAGCATGCAAATAGAATATTTTATTAAAGTAACAGACAAAAGGGATCTTTTCTTCTTTATGTGCCCTCTCTACTGCAACAGATTTTATCAGGCTACAGCCAGACATGCTAGCTTCCCTCTCACCTAAAGTGCCTGTCTGGTTTTAAGAGAATTATTTCCCAAACCAAATACCCATTCCTTTCTTGTATGGGCTCTATTTCCAGTTTATTGCTCATTTGTTCTGTTTTAAGCTACCAAAATGATCTTTTGGTCATCTAAAAGCTTTCAGAGTGAAGAGCCCAGAAAAGAAACATATAGATCATCCATATTAGATGGTAATCCTGGGATTGCTTCTATAGTGGCAACTAAAGCATGGTTTTCTCTGACATCTGAAGCCAACCCAGTATTCTCTACTGAAGGGAAAGTGCTCCATATGGAAATAAACAATCTAACAACACTTTTGACCACAGCTACATCTAAATCAAAGCATCGCAGCAACTCTTTCCATGATCGCTACTCATGTTTACCAACAGGTATACTAAAGCACAGAGGGTTTGACCAAGAAATCCACGTAAATCCCAATTCCAACCCACATCATGTCCTTTTCAGGAGGCATCATTCAAGGCAGTCGCTTCATGTTCTCCTTCTGCTGCCAATGATGGGCAGGGACCTGCAGAGGAACTTGGCACAAGGGGGAAAGGGATAGTCTTCACGAAGGAGAAGCAGTATGATACGAACAGCAGCAAGCAGTCTAGCAGAGTCAACACAGTCTCATCAGGGAGAAAATCACAGCCAAAGCTGCTGGAGCAATAACCCCCATTTCAGTAACTGCCACAGCGTTTGCAGCCTGGTCTTGCTTCAAAATCCATCACTGCAGTCCTTCGGTTCACTCCTTCTACTTGACAATACAGCATGCAAATTGGGTGCAGGTGGAAATGCTTTTTTAAAACCAAGATCTCTGGTTCAGGATTACTTACAGAGCCCTGAAGCTGTGGTATGCGACTGCAGTACGCCTGAGGGACCCAGCTGAGGGTCAAGCTGCCATCATTCTCAGCACTGGACACACAAAGTGACCCCCACCCCAAAGAGCCCCTGGTTTCAGGGCCAGAGGTCCTCGGAAGATAGAGGCACACAGGGAACAAAAGGGCAATGAGAACACTTCAACAGGCTGCTGCATCAGCTCACATAATTCATGCCACATGTTGGTAGACCTCTATGGGACTTTTAAGTATCTTCCTTCCTATTTTTCTGTAAAAGAGAGTTCTTCTAAAATTGGAGAAAGTGAGAGAAAGCACAAAGGTAACTCTCTGAATATTTTACTTGTGCACAATATAACACCGCTGGCAGAGGTGAGCCAACAGTCAAGATTTTACTAACAAATGAGAAGGGTTAGATAAACTGGAGATGGGTAGAAAGGACCTCAAGATAGCCATTCTGTTTCTGTGGAGAATGCAAACAGGGAACCAGCACAGAGATTCAAAGAGATGCTGATCTAGTTGAAGCATCTGATCAAGAACACCCACTTCAAAGAGGCATTTCTAATAGATGGAGGCAAGTGGGCAAGATGCATTTGTCAATGGCAGAGGAAAATGTTTCATTAAGCAAGGTGTAAAAGAACAAGAGCTTATGAAAAGGGGTTTCAGCTGTATGGATGGTTAAGAAAGACTCTCAAGAGAAAATAAAAACAAGAAATGAAAAGTGAAAAAATTATAATTTCAATATTATGAAAAAATTTAGACTTGCAGTCAAAATTGCACTGCTAAAGCAAGGCATGCTAGCTAGCAAGCAATTCTGCATACAGAGAAAGGGGGGAAACTGAAACATGTATGTTTAGTTTAATTTAATGATGGTATATTAAATCAATTTACTTCCTCCTTTTATATCTGCAATATTAAGTAACAATACTTCCTTCCTCAACCATTTCATCAATTGCTTATCTCATCAAGTCTTAAACTGTAAATATATGTATGCACATATATAGCATTAAGTTCCATCAAATCAACAAATAAAACAAGAGAGTGTATACACAGGAGCAGCACTTCTGCCTAAATTCTGTACAAAACTGTGCTGGCCATGCAATGCTAGGAAGTCTTGGCTCTTTTACCATTGACTAAATCGCTGAATAAGTAATTGAAACAGTTTTCAAAACAAAATCCTCTCAGCATGTGAATAAGCCAAGGCAGAGCTAGGACAGCTTTCTAAAATTGCTCACTAAACTGGTCACTGAATTAGTGTTTAGTGTTTTGCTTCACTCA